ATATATATATATATATATATATATATATATACACACACACACACACACACTTATAATATAATAAAATATAATAAATTGTAAGTCATTTTTTCTCTGTACAACACACACAGAGACAAAATATAAATCCTCTTCTACACCTAAAGCTGCCTAATAAACCTCACTAAGCCGCATCTACATTCTTTAGCATGGAAAAAATCTCCAAAATGCCTAAATCCTACAGTCTAGAATTTTCCATAAGCAGAACACAGATGCACTGAAGTAAACTACAAAATCTTTGACAAGGAAATCGTGTTTGACATAAAGACACTACGTTTTTGTAGGGAATTAGTGTGTTTACTGAATAGTGAACATTATATAGTATACTGTATATATTCATTCACACTGTTTTGCTTTTAGTTGGCTCTAGTCAGTAATTTAGCAGTTAGCCGGACCTTGCTGCCCGCTTAGAGGGTAAGGTAGTTAGGTTGCTTAGCAATGAAACCATGGTTACACATGCAGAGCATGCTGACCCACACACAGCTTATCCTGGATCACACAACTAAATTCACACAACTCACACAGACACAAAAACGCATGTAAACACAAATAATACAGGACATACAGTAACAACAAAGGCATAAAGATTACAAATTAGTATTTTACTCCAGGAATAAAGTTCAAACAAATGAACAACTACACGCACCGTGCTTAAATTGGTACCTGGTGTTTTCATGATGAGTTCTAAGAGGCTTGCTGAAGGAGCATGTGACTGTGACTGTGAGGTTGGAATAACAGGCAACTCAGCAGTACTAAACCAGAGCTCTCTCACACACATCCACAAACACTTCCTCATTCACACGCTTACACACACACATATACTGAAAATCAGTACATGTGTGGCTCAAGGCCAAGCTGAAACAGGAAGAAAAGCAGACTGACTAAATCAAACTCATGGTAAGAATAATAGTATTTAAGATTTATTTATAGAGTTTAAGAATGAAATATAACACTATTAGTTAAATTCAATTAATATTCTTACTATTAAATCTTAAGTAAGATTAATAAAATGATAAGTAATATATATATATATATATATATATACACACACACACACACACACACACACACATATATATATATAATACTATAACGAATGTATTGCTTATTGTTTGTTAATGGTAGTTAATGTAACCAGAGTTAACTAACGGGACTTTATTGTAAAGTGTTACCACACAAACAAATGGTACTTCTACATTGAGAATGAGCCTAGGATATACATATGGTTTATTTCATATATTCCATACTGTCTTTTAAGTGTGTGTGTGTGTGTGTGTGTGTGTTAATTTTGCTTATAAAGTTATTAAATAATTGGCTTGTTACTAAATAACAAGTGATAGAAATAAATTATAAAATGAAGGAGGACCATTCTTGGAAAGTGTGAGGGTTTGTGTGTGTGTGATCACAAGATAATATTTTGTGAGTATCTAAGATAATGATTGACAGAAGTACCTGATCTTTGACTTCTTTAACACACAGGACAATATTTGACAATCAGCACATATAAACTGACACACACAAGTACACAGGAACACACACAAGGCTTTTGTGTGCAGACAGATCAATTAGTATCTCTTGGGTGAAACTCCTTCGATCTCGGTGAAAGAAAAGAGTGAAATGTAGAAGGGTAGAACAATATACATGCTGGCCTCCCAGAACTGACAGCAACCACACACACCTGCTGTACAGAGCTGGGTCACTGTGACTTGGAAAATGGATCAGTGCTGACATTTTGCATGGGAAATAGTGTGGAGCAAATAGCTTAGAGAAAAGTCATTCACTGAGATTCTCATCTACGGTTTTTTTTTTTTGCTTACATATAATCGTGCATGTGTTTGTACTCCAGTTTGAAAAGATTGTAGATAGTATATATATATATATATATAATTTCCAGTTTTATATAATAATAAATCATATAATTTCCTGTTCTATGTTTCCTGAATGTTTTTGCATGTTGGTCACACCAGACAACTTTGATTTAACAGACAAAGGTTTTTCAAATATTAATAAGCAGTGTATATATGTATATGATTTCCCCTATTAAAACACTTAAAAAAGGTAAGTATTAAGTAAGAATTTCATCCTTTTAATCAGGCTTTTTTTTCATAATGCTACCAGGACAGCTGTATCATTCTAACATTTTTGACTTTATGCCCCAAAAAAATATCAACATTTTTAGTTATGGAATATATAGAATTGCATGTTTTATGTTTCCTGCATGGTTTTGGTCACAACAGACAAAAGTTTTTCAAACATGAATAAGCAGTGTGGCAGTTTTTGTTAATATATCATTTTTTATAATGCTATCAGAATGGTTGTTTCACCCTGAAAGATTTTACATTATGCCCCCAAAAATATCAAAATAATTTTTTGTTAAGGAATTAAAAACATGGTCAACATAGAAGATGCATAGTCAAGTTATTGCACGTATGAATTGCATTTTTTATGCATTTTTGAATAAATTACTAGACGAGTTAGATGAGCATGCCACGTCACCGACCCATTTGTGTCTGTCTTTCTGTTTATGTGTAGATGTGTAGCTGGCTCTTCAAACAATATACACTCTATAGAGCAACCAAGAGAGCGAAGAAAACCCTCACATATACACAAAAGCTCTGCTGCTCTGAGTGTCATGAAGGACTCTCAGGGGTAAAAGGTGGCTGAAAGACATGGGTGAGAGAGCGCTTGTGTCTTTTTTACTGTGTCTGAATGTTGGGGTGCCAGCAAGGTTTAGATTAACTCCATTTACACTCAACATCCATACAAGGTGACCAGTGCGTTAAGAGTCAAAGTTTGTTGCCATGCCTACAGATAATTTGGTGAGTTAATGTTTATTGCTGAAGAGACTCTTAAAACAGCTCATTTTGAGAAACCACTCGCATGATGATCAGAAAAGTGAAACACCTTATTATGTTCTTCTCAGTGACTAAGCAAAAAATCTGTATAATGGCATCCTATAATTATTAAACCTCATCTCTGACAAACATTGACCTTTGCAACACTTCGTAATCACTGTGCAGATCATTAACATTAAGTCTCTCTAAACAAGAATCCACAATTCTCTTTAATTTAACACACTCTCTATAGAGAATTTTTCGTTATATCTAGAGTTAATAGTTGCTACCGTATTTTTTACGGTAAAATTCCGGCAACCACAGCTGCCGGTTTTTTACCGTAAATTTTACGGATTTTTTTTTACAGTGTAGAGTTTGTATAGCAACAGAGAATGGCAATAATATGATTTAATGACAGCAAATGAGAACAACTGCTGAAATTAAATGTATCATTTACATAAAGTACACTAAATTTAACTTTCATTTTAAAGAGATTATCTAGTGAAAAAGCTGCTGGAGGATTTTGAAAGTGACACGAGAGGGAACTACCACTTCTGTTAACCAGCCAAGCAGTTACAGTTATAGGCCAAAGTGGCCGAATGTCAGTTAAAACTAATACCTGAGCTTTAGATTTACTTTAGCAGATAAATCTTGTTCTTACTGACTGTTCACTTAGCGCACTTCATGATGTGATCCGAACAGCTAATGCACTTTATGTCTTAATGTAGATGGAGAATAATCCTCCATGTCAATAACAATCAATCTGAAATACTGAAAGTGACAGAAATTTGAAAATATATGAGTTAATCTCTACAAAAAGCTATCAAGAACATGTCGCATCTCACCCCACAATCAAAATGAAGCACATTTAAGCTCTTTAGGTTTCATGACTGTGATATAAAACATCTTTGTATTCAGTGATGAGAAAGAATCTAACAAGAATCAGCACTGGGAATTATCAGAGTTACAAGAAAACTCAAAATTAAAAGATCTGCATGTCTGTATATGGTTATGCATTGCAGGTGAACAGGAGATGGCTTTATGATATTACATAAAGAACACATTATGGTTTCTTAAGACAACACTGGCGTCAAACGATGCCAGACAAAGTGAGAGACGTGTGGACACGGTGACCATCATGCCCACAACACCATTCTCAATTCCTGTAATCCTCAGTTTCAATTCTCTATGAAAACATGCTGCAGTAAAACTTTCCTGCAGTCATTCATATAAAGCACACATAATGATTTAGCTCTCCTGACTTGAAACTACACAAAACAGGCATTAAATAACCCAAACTATCAGTGTTGTTTAAGTATTGTTTATAGTATTCATTAATATTTTGAATTAACTTGTGTTTTCATTTTCATTTTATTAGAATTTTTATTATTATTTTTTTTTTTATATCAATTTACTGCTACTTTATTTTATTTAAATTAGTTACAAATGCAACATTTCTAAGTTTACATTTTTCAACTAATATTAATATTTTATTTTATTTCAGCTTTATTTCAATGAATGAAAACTATTTTTAATGATTTAGTTAACACTGTTAACAATTAATAACAAAAGAGGAAGAAAAAAGTAGAAAACTAAAAATGATTAAGGTTAATTGAATACACACACAATCAAACACAACATCACATATTGAGCATTTTTGCATACACACGCACACATAACGAAGTGGACAAATCACAAATGCACACACACACCTGACCATGATCTAAAGCACTTCAATTCTTTTTACCATAGTATCTACACTGAACACATAAGAGCATTGGGATGAACCACAAATGCTGATGACATCTTGAGGTTTCTTATCTTGCAGTCTGAACTCTTCACTCCTGAAGTTAATCTACTTACTGCAACACAATGTGACCAGGCCTGATCAAACACAATCCGCTGATACAGACACACACAGCTGATGATCTGCTCAAAAATGCCTCCAGTAAGCACATCACTGATGTCTCATCACTTTCTCTTGATGAGGTTTCTGTGAGAAATCTGCACATGGAGAATCAAGATATCTGCCACTGACTGGAGAAAAACGGGAACCTTTCTGATAACAGTAACACGCGCAGGTCTGGGCCCACCCTAACAGCAAACATAAGGCTGAAGAAGTCGAGTCCAAAGACCAACACAGCGCACTGTGACGCACAATTACATTTTACTCTATTTTACGCTCACTTGCATAAACACACAATGCTGCTAGTCAAATTACATGAGATGCTATTTGCATTTCAACAGTATTTTGTTTTTGTATTACAATTACTCTACAATAAAGTGAGCAAATATATGTTTTCTTCCTCTGAAGTTCCTCTGAAGGTCATTGTTGCCACTCAAAAAGGACGTAAAGTAAACGAATGATTTAAATAAGACATCAGCCAGAACTAAGCAAGTGCCCACAAGCAGAAAACACACACATACTTCAGAATCTCAGTGGTCACAGACACACAGGCGAAAAAACACAGACGCGTTACCTGCTTTTTCAGGTGAATGGATGTGTTCGAGTGGCAGTGTAGCTGGTGTGTGTACCATTCACACAGTCACACACACACACACACACACACTCAGGCTTTCTGTCTGTCTGGCGTCAGCGGTTACCCTCTTCTCTCTCTCAGTCACTCTCTCGCTCTCACACACACCGTCTGTGGGGTAGAGGAGCAGAGTGTGTGATTGGAGGTGCAGTTGGTAAAAGAGTGTTTACTCAGTGCATGTGAGGGGTGGGGCAGAGCAATGGTGCCCCCTCCTACACCTCTCTCCTGTATTGCTTTCTTTCTTTCTTCCTTTTCCTTGTCACACCCAAGAACCCTTCTCTCCCGTTTTTCTGGGAGCAAACGAGATGTCTGTGCAGGAGCGTGACTGTGTGCGGTGGGCTGTGAATCAGGTTGTCCATTGACTGAGCAAAAGTTCATTATAGGTGGCAACTGACTGAAAACTGTTCAGTCTAACCTGAAATCAATTTCCTGAATTCCTGCATTCCTGCATTCAAAAACATTTCAAGACAAACAGTTGGAAGCTCAGCGGCCCTCATGCACATTCAAACCTAGAAAGGTCTGTGAAATCTTCTCATTCCTGTTCCTAAGAAACAGGTACTTACACGTTGCAGGGTGTTTTACTTTGCTTTAGTTACTTTGATAAGGTGGAAATCATTGATTCGCAGATGGGTTTGTGTTTGCGTGTGTGCTTGAGTGCATGTTGCAAACACTAGGCTGTGATGTTAAAGGTAGCAGACAGGGGAAAATATATATGAAAAAAAAAAAATGTTTAAAAAAAAAAATATATATATTGGGTTGTTTTGAACCCAAACGCTGGGTCAAAACAACCCAAACGCTGGGTTTGTCCCTTTTTAACCCAGCGCTGGGTTATATTTAACCCAGCATTTTTTAGAGTGTGTATATATATATATATATATATATATATATGTCATGCTTTTAAGACCCCTTCAACAAAATTGTCACTTGCGAAACATCTACTATAATATAATGACATATTTGAGATTTATATGCAAATGTTTTATTTTATATATAAAATTATACATGTATATTTATGTTTGCATATGTTTACATTCTTCTAAATAGCATTTATTTATATACATTTAGTCAGAATACACTTTGTCTGGTCTGATTGTACACTACTATTCAAAAGTTTAATTTGGGTTCTGTAGGTATGTTTTTATTTTTTAATATTTATAATGTTACAAAATATTTCTGTATTAAATTAATGCTGCATTTTCTATTCACAAAAAAAAAAAAAAAAACTCAGAAAAAAATGCATCATGGTTTCCACAGAAATATTAAGCATCATGACTGTTTTCAACTTACAATAATAATAAAGTGTGTTTCTTGAGCACCAAAGCAGAAAATTACAATGATTTCTGAAGGATCATGTGACACTGAAGACTGGAGTAATGATGCTGAAAATTAAGCTTTGCGTCACAAGAATAAATTACATTTTAAAATATATTAAAATAGAAAACTGATATTTGAAATTGTAATAATATTTCACAATATTACTGTATTTTGGTCTAAGAAATGCAGCCTTGGTGAACATAAGAGACTTTGTGTAAGAACAAAAAAAAAATTATGCTAAAAAAGCAACACTTTATAGCCCACAAACTGATACTAAAATCTTGAAACGTTGAAAAAGCAAAGTTCACGGTCATGTTATTTATCAACTCCCTGATTATATTTTCCTGCAGAGTCAGTAAGATGTCATATGATGATGGTCACTTGTTACACATTCAGCTGTAACTACTAATCATCATGGTGGTGGGATGAGGGAGGGAAATGAGACAAGTGCGATGGGGGACGTGCATAAACAGGAAATGACAGTGTGCTTAAGAGGCAAAACAATTTTTGTTCTAGGTGGTTGGCTGATCACAAGAATCCCTAGTAGCCACACAAAACACACACACACACACACACAAAAGGGTGGCAAACCAGTTGGATGGATCCCTCAACTGTCTACAACAGTCATGAGCTCAGAATGCTAGTGTACACACATTAATTCCCAAGGAAACATTTCCGAAGTTTATCCCCATTCGCGCAAAATACAACCTTGAGATGTAAAATAGCACCATCAGTTATCTTTTAAATCATTAGCAACATTATAAAACCTGGGCACATGATGCATTGTGGGTAGGTCATAAACTAGGGTGAGGCTGTATAGAGAGTCAACATGCCTTGAGAGGGTGCAAAGTCTGCATATACAACCTTATCAGTGCCCATTATACACGTTTAAAACCTTGTCATTTATTGAGTTCCTTCTGTTCTTCCTCAGGATGAGTGTGTTTGTTACAGAAAAAGAGGGACAGAGTATTAGATAAATATGAAACTTATTAAATATATCTTCAAGGGACCATGGATAGAAGACGTGCGTGTGTGTGTGTGTATTTGGGGTGATAATGATAACAGAAAAAAGTGTGTTTTAGGTTTGCACATATCGTGTCACACATTGCCGGAAACGGTAACTGGAAAAACAGGTTTAACTCAAACTTCAACACTGTACGAATACATAAATACACTAAAGGCACACGCGGACACGAAAACAGACATGCGCTCTGACTGTCTACCTACAGTAGATCTCTGAGTCAAGGTCATCTGATGGTGACTGCACCAGTGGCTCAACCGCCCAAGAACTTTAAATAACTCAAGACACGGAAGAGCCATATCGAAGTGTAATACACAGCGTGATTTTAGACCAATTAGATTTCACTGTAGGCAGGGCTACAAAGTGCAATGGTGCACCAATAGCAACAGAATCTCAGATTTACACGGAAGACAAAAGTTTGTTCACTCTGATCTGTGTATTAGCACAGTACTAAGATACTGGACCAATAAAGAATCTAAGCTTCATAGATTTGAAGAACATAAACTTCAAAGCTGCATTTTTTATAAGCATGTTACGGCAAAATGGAATAGATGGTATATTTCCACATTTTAAAATAATTATTAGTTGCAATTTCTGATTTATTAAAAAAAAAGCAGACCTAGGAATGTGACGTCTCATATTTTTAATACAACCGTTACGATTTTTGTCCCTCCATTTGAAGTCCATTCTACCAAAATTTGACTCTTCAAAAACTTCATAGATATTGTAAAAGTAATCCACTTGAATCAAGCGGTTCCAAGTCTTCCAAACAGACATCAGCGTTTTATATGATGAACAGATATAATTTAGGCTTTTATTCACATATAAACATCAATCAGCACATATAGAGCACATCAAATATGGTAAACAGAAGCTCAACCACTTGGTTGATGCACAAGAACAAACCTAATTGGTTCTTGCACATCCAAAGCACATTTGAGCTTCCATTTACCATAAACGATGTGCTCTATATGTCAATGTATATTTATATGATCAATGTTTATTTGTGAATAAAAGCCTAAATTATATCTGTTCATCATACAATACGACCACGCCTCTTCAGAAGACTTGGATTAAACGGTGATTCCTATGGATTACTTTTACAATGTATTTAAATGAACAGACAGAAATCTCCCAGGTTTCATTCAAAATATCTTTATTTGTGTTTCAAAGATGAATTAAAGTCTTATGGGTTTGGAACTAAGGTGTGTAAATGTCACACTTTAGTTTGGGGACCAATTCTCACTAACTATTAGCTATGACTTTTGCCTCAATAAACTCCTAATTTACTGCCTATTAATAGTTAGTAAATTTAGGTATGGGGTAAGATTACGGGATCTAAAATATGGTCATGCAGATTAAGGCATTAATATGCTAGTAATATGCATGCTAACTAGCTAATAGTGATAATTGGTCCCCAAACTAAAGTGTTACCTGTGTAAATAATGACAAAAATTGCAATTTTTTTTGTGAAATATTTCTTTAACTACTGCAGACTGTCTCTGTTGCTAATATTGCCTCAGATCGTCAACTCTAAAAATGATTGATTTTCAGCCAAGTAACTGCTTTTTCTCATTGCACATCGATTGAAGGTTCAGACAAAACTAAAACCAGTTTTTGAGAGGTTAACACTTTATGTAAAACAATGATGCAATGTATTATTTATTCATGTTCAGAGAAAAGTGTTTTAGTGGAAAGACAGGGTGTACTTACAGAAAAGGAAACATTTGTAAGTTTGTGAGTCTTCAATATCAGTGCAAGAGGGATGAGATGTTTTAAAGAGTTACATTTAAAAGAAGACAGACTGCTAGGGACCATTACGTTCTCTCACCCCTTCATTCCACACATACACACGCAATAGCAAATTTACTGGAAATGTTATTAAGATGTATCAGTATTCACACACCAGTGCTGATTTTGTCCTGTTTGTTGGGTTTAATGGTAACACCTTACAATAAGGTTTATTAGTTAACTACTTTAGTTAACACGAACTAAGAATGAACAATACTTCTACAGCATTTATTAATCTTAGTTAATGTTAATTTCAACATTTACTAATGCATTATTAAAATCAAAAGTTGCGCTTGATAACATTAGTTAATGCACTGTGAATTAACATGAACTAACATTGAACGACTGTATTTTCATTAACTAACATTAACAAAGATGAATAAATACTGTAATAAATGTATTGTTCATTGTTTGATCATGTTAGTTAATACATTAACTAATGGAACCTTATTATAAAATGTGACCGGTTTAATGAACGGGGCCTATTATTACTCACTAAAACAAAGAAAAGAAGAAAGGGGAGAGAGAGAAGTGTGTAATGAAGCGGCATAAAAGCATTAGCAAGACAGAGAGAAATTGAGTGACTTGATTCAGACATGCAGAACTTGTGTCACTAAGGAGACTAGTGTGTGTGTGTGTGTGTGTGTGTGGCACACGGTGGGATATCCCAAATTAAGTCTTTGGTCTAAAAGAGCTCCTCCCCTCAGGAGTCACTATTAATCAAAGTAGGAGAACCATGCTGAACACACACACACACACACACACGGCTCTTCTAGTCTGTCTATAGAGACAGTGTAAGAATGCATTCATTGTGAAGTGCAGGTATTCGGTGTGTGTTAGGGAGAGAGATGGGAAGAAAAGCAGAAGGGAGAGAGAGGAGATCCTGTTTCACTCACTCTCTCTCTCACACACACACACACACGTCCAGATGTCTGTCAGGGTTAAAGGCATGCTGAGGAGGTCACATGATCAGTCATATGACTTTAAGAACACAGAAAGAGAGGTGACCTGACTTGATCTCTCTCTGTTTCCTTCTTTATATTTAATAGTATGTCTACAAGAAGTCAGAAAGGCTGACTGAAGTGCTGAAGGTGGATGAATAAGATATGTGTGTTTCCCACAAAGAGGAAACAAAACTAATGAGTCAATAAAAGACGTAGAATTGAGAAATGTCCCTAAACCTTACAATTCTATTCAATTTAGAGTTTTTGGGGGATCAAGAAATGAAAGTGGTTGACTGATTTTAAGTGTTTGTTTGTTAGTTTGTTTGTTTAGAAATAAAGACATTTTGAGAATAAGACTGGACGATATAGCAAAGAAAAAACACGGAAACAAAACTAATGAGTCAATAAAAGACGTAGAATTGAGAAATGTCCCTAAACCTTACAATTCTATTCAATTTAGAGTTTTGGGGGATCAAGAAATGAAAGTGGCTGACTGATTTTAAGTGTTTGTTTGTTAGTTTGTTTGTTTAGAAATAAAAACATTTTGAGAATAAGACTGGACGATATAGCAAAGAAAAAACAAATTTTTAATCTTTTGA